ATATTGATAATAGCTAAGGAAGTTGAAGGTCAAAATTAATCATTATTGGTAACCCTGTATATAGCGTACCTAATTGATATGTCATACTAATTAGAGATTTATTGTTAATATTACTACAACTATCACCACTCAGGGGGGAGGCAAAGTTTGGTTACTTGCCTCCCCCGAGTGGTGATAGTGTAGTAATATTAACAATAAATCTCTAATTAGTATGACATATCAATGAGGTACGCTATATACAGGGTTACCAATGATGATTAATTTTGACCTTCAACTATGAAGGACTTAATGCAGTTTAGCACAGAAGAGTGTGAGGACAATATTGATCGAATTTTCAGAATCCAATCTAATTACGCCAAAAGATACAATGTACCAAGAGATGTGGTAGTATGTTTTGGAAAGAAAAGCATACGAGATGGAGTGCTAAAGGAGAATACTAGAAGTCCAACATATTACAAAGGAAGTAAAATTGCCATCTTAAAAGAACACCCAAAAGCAGTTTTAGAAAGAAGACGTAAATACTTCTTCCTGACAGACAAATTTAAAAAAAGAAATATAAGATTAAAATGGGAAAAGAGAGAAGGATTAATGGTGACCTGGGAAAAAAAAATATTGGCTTATGACAGAATTCAAAGCAAGGGCATTTTATGATAAGTACCTAAGAAAAGAAGGAGAAGCACTGAAGAAGGGCAAAGCGGAAGGAGGAACGGGAGGAGAACAAGACCAAGAGGATAGTATGGAGAGACAAAGGAAAAGACCAAGAGAAAAATCCCCCAAAGATTACCAGACCTTCGCAGACACGGCATTGATAAATCTGGATAGTGATAGAGGAGGAGGAAATAGATGGCACAGAATATTAAAATATACTCAAAATATACTCAAATAATGTAAATGGACTAAATCACCCAAATAAAAGAAGTAAAATATGGCACCAAATCAAAAAAGAGCAGTTTGACATAATTTCTTTGCAGGAAACTCACATTTGTCATAAGCACGTTGCCCATCTAACTCAGAAGAAATTGGAGAAAACATACTATGCAACTTGTGGGGGGAGGGGAAGGGGTGGTGGTAACATATGTCAACGAAAAGTTCCCATCTAAACAGGTATTTAAAGACTAAGAGGATTATCATACAATTTGGAGGGGGAACATTACTAATATGTAATATCTATGCCCCAAATGGAACGAAAATGAAATTTGTGGAAACACTAAATACGAAGATATTAGAGCAGGAATGTGATGATCTAATCATTATGGGTGACTTTAATGGGGTATTAGACAGCACAATAGATAAATCTAAGGGGGCTAAAAAGAAGAGTGACCAATATACAGGAGAACTCCCCAGGGACTTTAAATTGTTAAAAAAAATTAGGACTACAAGATATTTGGAGGCACTTCCATAGGGAGGGGCAGGACTACACCTTTTTCTCGAATCGCCACAATACATGGTCCTGAATTGACATGATATGGGGAACGAAGGAACTAGTGTCAAAAGTAACAAAAATTTCGTTGAGAATAAACTCAGATCATTCCCCATTAGAGGTGACTCTAGAAAATACAGACAACAGAAGAAAATTATTCAGATGGAAAGTAGATGATCAATTAATAAGAGACCAGAGAGATCAAGATACCAATAAGAATATACTAGAAGAATTCTTCAAGATCAACACAGAGCAAGACACAATAGACATTATATGGGATGCGTCTAAGGCATATATGAGGCCACTTTATTCAACAGAAAGCAAAAATAAATAGGATTAAGAATGGAGAGCTCAAAAAGATTGAAGAGGAAATTGCAAATATGGAAGCAGAGCATAAAAAAGCCACATAATAATAAAATATAATTACAAATGGAAATATTAAAGAAACGAATAGATGCACTATAGTTAGAAGAAATAAGCAGAAAATTAAAATATATGAAGCAATGTCATTTCAAGAATGCTAATAGGAAGACTATTAGCATGGAAAATGGCAAGAAAAAAACAGAAACAGTAGATAAATAAAATAGAGGAAGGGGGAAATGTTATGTAAAACAGATAGACATTGAAAAACAATTCAACAAGTTTTACAGGAAATTATATGCGGATGATAACATCCAAAAAGAAAAAGTGCTACATTACCTTGGAAAACAGAAAATAAAGAAATTAACAGAGGAAGAAAGGGAAGTACTGAACAAAAAGGTCACAGAAGAAGAAATACGGAAGATAATAAAAGATTACCAACAAATAAATCCCCAGGCCCAGACGGATTTACGGACAAATATTATAAAGTCTTTAGTGACCTACTGATACCATCCCTGATGAAAGTAATAAATAAAGTCCTGGCTGAGAGGAAGATACCCGAGACCTGAAGGACAGCACATATTAACTTAATACCAAAAGAAGAGTCTGACAATACAAGAATCAAAAACTTCTGACCAATTTCTTTGTTAAATGTTGATTATAAAATCTTTTCAGGAATATTAGCATCGAGACTGAAAAAAGTCCTGAATTCGAGAATACATGAAGAGCAAACAGGCTTTTTGCCAGGGCGACAGATAAATAACAAAACTAGATTGATCCTTAACACAACAGAATACTACAACAGACATAACCAAAAAGAGGTAGCGTTTTTATTTTTGGACGCCGAGAAGGCCTTCGACGGGGTCAATTGGAGCTTTATAACCAAATTGTTGAAGGAAATGGGTGCGGATTTTCACTTCATAAATGTAATCAGGACAATATACTCTCAACAGTCCGCCAAAATTATAGTGAACTGACAAACCTCAGAGGTATTTAAAATAAATAAGGGAACCAGACAGGGATGTCCCCTATCTCCGCTGATTTTTATTATGACCCTTGAGGTATTGCTGGAAGGTATTAGAAATAATCAGGAAATAAATGGATTAAAGGTGAAATCACTTAATTACAAAATAGCAGCATTCACAGACGATGTGGTGTGCATAATTGAAGATCCATTGAAGCAATGGGACAGATGGTGGGCAGAAATCGAGGTGTTTGGAGAAGTAGCGAGCCTGAAAATAAATAAGGACAAAACGAAATTCCTGGTTAAAAATATGACAAGAAAGAAAAAGGATGAATTACAAGTGAAAACCGTGGAAATTGTAACAAATGTAAAATACTTGGGGATTCAGATTACGGCTAGCAATGTGCAATTATTAAAAAACCATTACGACACCAAGTGGAAGAAAATAAAGGAAAAAAAATGAGACAATGGCAAAGGTTAGATCTTTCCCTTTTAGGAAGGATAACAGGAGGAAAGATTAATATCCTCTCAGAGGTATTATATCTATTCCAAATGATCCCAATATTAAGAACCAAAAGGACATTAACAAACTGGCAAAAAGATATAAATAGATTTATTTGGCAAAACAAAAAAGCCCAGAATAAAGTTCAAAAACCTGAGCAATGATACAAAAAGAGGAGGTTTAGGATTGCCAGACCTCCAGCTGTATTATGATGTGGCAGCATTGACATGGGTCAAGGATTGGGCCTCATTAGAAAATAAGAGAATGCTATCGCTAGAAGGAGAAGATTTGAGCAGGGGCTGGCACAGTTATATACGGAAGGGAAAAGTTCAATAATCATTTTATAACAGTATCATTGATTAAAATATGGAATAAGTACAAAAGGAGATGTTATATCAGGACACCAATGTGGTTCTCGCCAAATGAGGCGGACCAGAGAAGGGAAATGTCCAGTGATAGATGGCTGACTTCTAGGCAACTGCTCAATGTAAGCAATCAGGGAATAAGAATGAAAACATTGGAGGAGATAAAATCAATAGAACCCAAGTTTTCCTGGTTCCAGTGCTGGCAAGTTAATGAAAACTTTAAAGAAGACAGAAAGATAGGATTTGAACTGAAAGAAAATCTATGGGATATTATTAAGATGGAAAATAAATTAATCAAAAGACTATCAACAACATTTAGCATGGGAAACTGAAGAAGAACAAGTAAAGGCAGTCATGATTAAATGGGCTAAAATAATAGGACACATGATCACCATGGTAAAATTGGAGGAGGTTTGGAAAAAGAAACTAAAATACGCATACGCTACAGAGATCAAGGAAAACTGGCTTAAGATGTTTTATTTATGGTATCACACTCCAGAAAAACTAGCAAAATATAGCAAGGGTAAGATCGATAAAAAATGCTGGAGATGTGAGAAGAAAGTGGGTACGTTTAAGCACATGTGGTGGGAGTGTAAAGTTATTAAAAAGTTCTAGTTTGAAGTGTATAAAAAATTAGGAGAAATGTTTCAACTTAACTACGAATTTAAACTGGAATATTTTCTGTTAGGAATGACTGACCTTAATTTGAACAAAAATGATGACATTTTCTTTTACCTCACAACGGCAGCGAGGATTTGCATAGCCCGCGAATGGAATAACAAGGATACAGCAACTTTTAATTCTTTTAATTTTTAAAAGAATTTTTAATTAATTAATTAATTAAAAATTAAATAATTTAATAATTAACTTTTAATTAATAAGGCTATGGACATCATGAATATGGATTTGTTAACTCAGAAAATAAGACAAAACAGAGTAATAGTTAATAATATGGACTGAAACAAGTTCATTAACTTTCTAAAAAAATAATTACAAATATTTCTAAAAAGGGAAGGAATAGAAGAATCCTAAGGGCCACGATATATTGGATTACAGGATATCTGGCTGAATTAAGATATGATGGGAACGAAGTAACACACACGATCGCTTGGAGATCCTGGAAGTCAAAGGGAATTTATATATGTGTGTGTGTGTGTCACACTGTATTGTATGGAGGTGGATGGGGGTTATCTGTTTGTTTGGGACTTTTGTTGTTGTATTTGTTAGGTAAGAAGGTATGTATATATACTGGAAATATTGTATGCGAAACCATACAAATATAGGCGGTATGGACTTAATAATACATACGACCCTCAACTGTTGTAGATATTGTTTACTTGTATGTGTGTTTGTTTGTCTTGCTTAACCTTCAATAAAAAATGTTTAAAAAAAAAAAAGAATTGTACTCCGAGGTTCAAACCACTACAGTACACTTTTAGATTTTTTCCCTTTTTCCTACTTCCCTTTTTGTCCTTTTTCTTCCTTCTGTTTCTTCTCTACCTTTCTTCCTTTTCTCTCCTTTCTTCCTTCATTTTCCTACCTCCCTTCATTCCTCTCCCTACCTTTTTTCTTTCTCTCTCCCTTTCCTTCCTATCTTCCTCCCTCCTTCCTTTTTTCTACCTCTTCTTTCCCTCTTTTCCCTCCTTCTCTTTCTTTTCTCCCTCACTCGCTATTTTTCTTCCCTTTTTCCTTCTCTTTCTCCCTACTTCCCTTCCTTTCCCTTTTTCTCCCCACTTCCCTTCCCTTTTTCCTTCTCTTTCTCCCTACTTCCTTTTTTGGTATTTCTTCCTTTCTCCATCTTCCTTATTCCTTCCCTTTCCTCCTTTTCCACTCCTCCCTCCTTCCTTCTCCTTTTTCTCCCTTCTTCCCTTTCCCTCCCTCCTCTTCCTCCATCTTTCCCTCTTTCCTACCTTTCTTTCTCCCTCTTCTCTTTCTTTCTCTTTTTTCCTTCCTTACACACACCAGGGAGGGTGAAGTCCTGGTGGGTAGCAGCACTGGCAGCCCTTTGTGGGCCGCATCAATGGCTTATTTCGACCTGTTCTAGAACAGATATGCAATTATTTAATTCATTCATGGAAAAGAAATGGTCAAAGACAACAGAAGATCAAACTGCAGTGTTGAAAATTCTTATTAAAATTTTAAAAAGCTAAATAAATAGAATATATTTGTACAGACAATATACAAGCAGTGCTGCTGCATACATTTAGCAATGTTTGGGAAGGAACAGAAAATGTCAACAATTGCTCCTCTAGTCATACTATATCTGTATTTACCCATTGATATTCCCTTCCAAATAAGGTATCATTTTTATTAACAGATAGACTCCTTTAATCAGCTATAATTAAGGAATATTAATAATGTTAAGATTCTAAAGTGACAACAAGAAGCTTTTCAGGTCTTTCTTATTCGTTTGTTTCTCTTCTTCAAGGCAAAGCAGTCTTTTCAACTGTGTGAAGTGGGCTTTGGCATTTTTGGAGGAGGAGCCAGGAGTTGATTGTCCAGATGTAGAAATTCTGAAAGGGAATAAAAACCATTTACATTTTTTTTTTACTACAGATCACTGAAGCAATATTTATATTTCTCATTATGTATAAAAACAATACAAATAGAGATGTATTACATATTAGTGAAAAACATTTATAAACATTTACACTATATTATTTTATATTATTTGTTCTCTTCAGTGTACTTTTAAAAAATCACAGCATTTTTTCTTAAATCCTATTGTACTTTTATAGTACCCCCACCATGCTGGGGACAAGGAAGAAATGTCAGTATTCATATCCATGTTGTAGTGGGAAGGTACTGCAACAACTCAAAGGTGTTATATTGTAATGATGAGGCCAGTGGATGACTAGAAGGTGCAGGTCATCCTTTCTCTCAGCCCTACACAGCCATATGACCCAGAATATCAAGGTAGAAAATCCTGCAATATCTGCTTTGAACTGGGTTATCTGAGTCCACACTGTTCAAAGCATATAATGTGGGGTTTTATTCATCTGTGTGGAAGGGGCCTGAGAGCCCAATACCTGGTCAACTTAATCTTATGCAAGCAAAAGCAGTCATGTAGATTTAGGCCCCTTCCACCCTGGCCCTATATCTCAGTATCTGAACCCAGATTATCTTCTTATCCCAGAATATCTTGCAGTGGAGACTCATATAATCCAGTTTAAATCAGAAAATATGGGATTTTTTTTTGTCGTGTCAGGAGCAACTTGAGAAATTGCAAGTAACTTCCGGTGTGAGAGTATTGGCCGTCTGCAAAGGACGTTGCCCAGGGGACGCCCGGATGATTTTTGATGTTTTTATCATCCTTGTGGGAGGTTTCTCTCATGTCCCCACATGAAGAGAGCTGTTAGAGGGAGCTCATCCGCCTCTCCCCGGATTTGAACCTGCGACCTGTCGGTCTTCAGTCCTGCCGGCACAGGGTTTTAACCCACTGCGCCACCGGGGGCTCCAATATGGGATCAGATCCTGGGATATAGGGCAGTGCAGAAGTGACTTTAGATACATACATGAAAATCAACAGTGTGCCTCAGGTGAAGAATAAGAATAAGAATTGTATTCATCACCCATTTCACCATTCATCTTAAACTTTCCCACACTTAAACTTTCCCACTTCGGATCCCTTTCTGCACCAGAATTTTTTATGTGACCCCAGATATGTGGGTATATAAAATAAAAACCAACATTTCTAATAGCAAATCAGTATTTGCAAAGCTTGCTAAATAGGCTTAATTTCTCTTTTGTGAAGTACAGCTGAACCATCTTCTGCAGAGTCCACTGTAAACACTGCGTAACAGATCTGTGTAAATGTTCAAAACATTCAGAAACTTTAATTGTTGCCAATTTTTGTGACCCCCAACACTGAACTGAGGGAACCTCATTTGGTGTCAGGACCCATGGCTTAAGAAGCAGTGGATTAAGATGCTTCAAAACTGGGCCATGTTCCTTGCCAATAGAGCAATATAAAGATGCCAGCTGGAGTAATAAGAGGTAGCAACTTGAAACTTAAATAAGAATCTGTGTGTATCCACCATTACAGAAGTGAGTACTGGAGTACCACAGGTTTCCGTCCTGGGCCTTATGCTATTCATAATCTTTATCAATAATTTGGACAACAGAATATAGGCATGCTTATCAAATTTGCATATGATTCAAAATTTGGAGAGATAGCTAATACTCCAGAGGACAGAATCAAAATCTAAAAGGATCTTAACAGATTAAATGTTGTAGTTCAGCGTGTTGGTCGAGTTGCTACTCCTGGTAGCAGGGAGAACGGGTCTACTCTGGAGTTGGAGGGAGAACAGCAGCGTCAGCGCATTAGGGAAATCATTATGGCTCCAAGTGATATTGACACGTTTCCAGGCTTCTCCGATTGTGAGATGGGGGATGGGGAAGTAAGCAGAGGTGTAAAAAGGGCTGCTCGCGAGCCAGAGTCTGAGGGGGAATTACAAAGGAARCRTATTCGGGAAATACTTTRTGCACCAACAGAGGATGAAGATTTMCTTGGGTTTGAAAGRAGTTCTGRKTCTGGGAGTGAYATGGAAGARGARGAGGAATTAKAKYGGACCCRTGTGCAAVAMATAARGRACATCTGTAACCAASCCACCTCYAGTGAGGARTTTGAGRGGTTCACTGGGRAYTGRCAGCCAGGGGAYTCTTGGMAGGATCTGAACCCTGACAATCGTTGGCAGWGGTGGAGGGATGGGCACTCAGCTGCAGGTTTGGGGGCAGCTGAGAGTGATGAYGAGAGGGTGRGGAGCTCATCAAGCTCTGAGGWAGAACTTTGAGATAAAAGGGGGTTCAGTTTGGACTATACTTCGCAGAAGGCAAAGTGTCTTTATTGGACATAATTCTTTGTGCTGCCAACTTTCAACCTTGGGTCCTGGGCTACAGCTTCATGTGTTCCTGTACTCCTGTTTCCTTGGTGATTCCAGCATTCCAGCCTTGTTTACCAACGGATTGACCACGGACCTGTTTGACTACGCTTTTGGCTTTTCTGGACTTTGAACTTTAATGTCTTTGTGACTGAAACATTTCTTAGTTTTGAAACCACGTTTTTCCTGCTTCTGTGACTGTGTTTTGGTGCTATTTCGATTTTCAAGCAGTTTGCTTCAGTTTTTGTTTAACCTGGATTATAAAGCAGCATTATAATCCGGATTATATTTTTGTTTCTTGTAACGACTTCTTTTTGATGCCAAATCACTCCTGATACCCTTAGCACTGAAGTTAATTGCTTTGCGGGTCCATTTGTATGCAATAAAGCTGTGTTTGAACCTTTATTTTGTGTCTGGCATTGTTTAAGGCTTATGGGTCCTGACATTAAAGAGATGGGCTAAAACTAACAGATAGAAATAAACAGTGCTACACCCTGCCAGAAAAAAATGAATTGCACATGAATTGCACTGTTTTCAAACAAGGGAGACACTTTGTTTGAAAACAGAACATGTGAAAGAAATCTAGAAATCTTAGTAGATCACATGCTGAACTAAGTCAGCAGAGTAGTGCAACAGCTAGAAAAGCCAATGCGATTCTTGTTTTCATCAACAGGAGTATAGTATCTAAATCGTGGGGAAGTCCTAGTCCCACTCTCTTCTGCTTTGGTCAGATCTCACTTGGAATACTGTGTCTAGTTCTGGGCTTCAGATCTAGATGGCCATCTGTCAGGGGTGCTTTGATTGTACTTTTCCTGCAGGGTAGGGTGTTGAACTGGTCTCTTCCAACTCTAGGATTCTATGATTAAATGTAATAGACTCCCTCTATTTTAGTAAGTGGAGGGGCCTTCTTCTTGTCCACTCTTTCTCAGAACAAAATGGATATTTTGCCAAAGAAGTCAGGATGATAGCAGCTAAAATACAAACCATAGCAAAAACTTGCCATAGGCGGTCTCCATAACAGTGTACTGTGCATAGCTGAATTCATGTCCTGTACCCTAATATTCATCAATGGGAAAGGGACACAAATACCTTGGACTTGAGAATGGAGTCTCTCTTTTTGATCTAGGCCAATTGTGGCTGGCAGGGGTAGTTTTGTTCCATGACGTCCTCCTACTGTTTCCATTATGCTTTGCTGTTTTTCCACACACGTTGCAGGTTATTAACTAAAGAAAGAAGGAAAATTCAACTCATGTCAAGCTTGTTGTGCTCTGATGGAAAATGAAGAATATGAAGTTCTCAGAAAATAAAAGTAGACTGAATCACTAGAATATTCTGCTAACATTATTGAGACTACTACAGAGCAACTGTTCAGTATACTGAGATGCTCAACTACTGAATACTTTATAACTACCTTATAAAATGAATCGAGTTTTTAAAAACTAATTCACAGATGCAGTAAGTTTCACTATTCACTGGAGACTAGCACATCTATCTCCCAAGTCCGGGTCCTAACCATTGCATCCTGTTGGCTCTTTCCTGAATAAAAGAAGAAGTTGTTCTAGATGTTAAACTCAATCTAAGCCTATAGGTAGAGGAATCCTCAGAGATAACAAAGCCTCTAACAAGTATATATCTAAAGAGATCCTTTCCTACAACACCATAAACAACTAGGGAACTAAAGTCAAATCTTATCATCCTGGCCAAACACTGAGATTTTTTTGAGGAGCACAATTTTTGAGGAACACAGTTTCACAGAGGTCCAAGATCCACTTGGAATTAGCCATTTAGTGCATCCATCCCCAGTTCAGAAAAGGCCCTTCAAATTACCATTAGGCATGCATCTGCACTTTTTTGGGTTTTATTGAAGACTTCTCTTCAAACAAGTATATCCAAACAGATATTTTTAATTCTTTTGCATTGGTTAATTTTAGACCACTGTACACCACTCCAAGATCCCCAAATGGTGTTTATTCATTCTATCTATGTAAATAAAAAATATGTTTTCTAAGTAGCTGTTTCTTACCCTAAAGTCTGAAGAACATTTCTGATACGTTTCTTCTGAAGTCAGATTATAGCCACAATTCTTTCACATATGGTTTATCTAGAACGCTGAATCCCATAAATGTATGCAAAGTCCAACCTGAGCTGAAGTTTTAAAAAAGCGTAGTTTCTCCTAGCAATGTGAAGCTGTGGTTCATCACACAGCCACTGTACTAAAGGCAGGCGGATTGGGGTTTGGTCAGTGCCAGCTGGGAGACCCCTGAGAAGTTGGTATACCATCCTGAGTTCCATGATGAAAGAAATTATTTTAAAAACTAACCAAATAAACTGACATCTTGAAGCCACCATGTAGAGATGATGCAAAAGCAGAGGATTAGTTTGGTCACACCTATACCAACGGCTACAACACTTTTCTAAACGGCCATCACTCTTATTTACCTGAAGAAATCAAATCAAAGCTGCCTGTACCATTTGGGGTACTGTCATAATGGAGGTATGAGAAGTATGGGCTACTTTTTTTCGGACTCTCCATTTCCCCCCTTAAGAACTTCAATTAAGAAGAAACCATTTAAGTTCTGTCAATGTTCCTATGAGGGAAGGAGAATAATTAAACAAATCAAGAATAATTTTGAAAACATTTCCTTTTGTTCCTGTCTTCTGGGGAAATGCTGAACAAAAGTAGACATGGTAATTGTTTAAAAGATTTCCTTACCAGAATATTTGTTGATTCTTTGTACTTCTCCAAAATCTTTGTTTGTTTTAAATTGAGTCTGTAGTTTTTTCTTTCCCTGTGAAGTAATTTCTCTATCCGGGGAGTTATTTTTATTTTGGGCATTAGACGGACCCTGTAATTACCAGGAAGAAGCGACTGGTAACAAAACGCGCAGATCCAGCTAGCATTCTCCGGTTTCTTACCTATGGAGTAAAAGAACAGCCAGGGTATTTGACAATAAGTGGGTTCACATAGCATGCTAAACCAGATCTCTTGATAGAGTTCCAATTTATTATGCAAGCTAACTTATTACTCTTTCCAACAGCAGAGGCAAACAAAACAATAGGCCTTTTGTCTGTAGTTTAGTGATTGTGATGTCCAAGCGGATCTTCAGTGCTTTGGTCTTGGGTTGTTTCCCTGAATTGTTTGGGAGAAAGAGGCCAGAATGCAAGGACTTGCCAGACTTGGACATCATGCTAAGTACAACTGTAACTATTGAAAATGCATGTGTCATACACCAGTGTGTATGTAGTAAGTGATAATTTCTTTGAAGCTTTGGCCCACAATGACAAGGAATGTGCTGAAGTTTGCTGGTAGATGATAAAATACATAGTATTATTATTAAAAATTCCAGCTCTACAGAGTTTGCAGAACATTTATAGCAAATGGTCTACAGAAGTGAAGAATACAGTATTTCATCGCAGAATAGTTGCCATCACACCCCCAGAATCCCAGAACGGCTTCTGCCCCTCCAGAGGAACACTGGACATGATCTTCACTGCACGACAGCTCCAGGAAAAATGCAAGGAACAAAATCAACCACTGTACATGGCATTCATTGACCTTGCAAAGGCATTCGACACAGTGAATCGCAGTGCTCTCTGGATCATCCTCCAAAAAATCAGGTGCCCTAACATCCTGCGGCTCCTCCATGATGACATGATGGCGACAGTCTTGGACAGCAATGGCTCCCAAAGTGCCCCATTTAAGGTGGAATCAGGTGTCAAACAGGGATGTTATTGTCCCAACCTTATTTTCCATCTTCATCGCTATGATACTTCATCTTGTTGATGGGAAGCTTCCCACCAGAGTGGAAATCATCTATCGGACAGATGGCAAGCTATTTAACCTCAGCAGACTGAAAGCCAAAGCCAAGGTTACAACAACATGTTATAAAACTCCAATATGCTGATGACAACGTCACCTGTGCGCATTCACCTGCAAGCCACTCTAAACACCTTCACAGAAGCATACAAGAAACTCGGTCTGTCATTGAACATTGAGAAAACCAAAGTGCTCTTCCAGCAGTCACCAGCAAATCCCTCTCCAATGCCAGAAATACAGAATGTTAATGGTGTAACATTAGAAAATGTTGACCATTTCCGCTACCTTGGCAGCCACCTCTCCACAAAAGTCAACATTGACACTAATATACAACACTGCCTGGGCTCTGCGAGTGCAGCATTTTTCCGAATGAAGCACAGAGTGAGGACCGGAACATCCATAGGGATACTAAGGTGCTTGTTTATTGTCCTCCCAACCCTGCTATACGCCTGCAAGACGTGGACTATCTACAGACATCACATGCAACTCCTAGAACAATTCCATCAGCGTTGCCTCCGAAAAATCCTGCAAATCTCAGAAGCATCACAAATCATTAACATCATTAACATCAATTAACATCAGCATCAAAAACATCAATACACCAATATAACAAATCCATCTAGTCTAATCAGTGAAATCAGAACCCAAAACTCGTTATCCATTATTCCGTGTTCCAATAATCAGTCAATCAATCACACTGCTTAGTCGAATGCCTGTTCGAACATCCAGGTCTTTACTTTCCTCCAGAATGCCAGCAAGGAGGGGGCCAATCTAATATCTGCAGGAAGGGCGTTCCACAGCCGAGGGGCCACCACTGAGAAGGCCCTGTCTCTCGTTCCCGCCAGGCGTGCTTGTGAAGCCGGCGGGATCGAGAGCAGGGCCTCCCCAGACGATCTTAATGTCCTAACTGGTTCATAGGAGGAGATGCGTTCGGACAGGTAGATCGGGCCGGAACCGTTTAGGGCTTTAAAGGCTAAAGCCAGCACTTTGAATTGTGGCCGGTAGCAAATTGGCAGCCAGTGGAGCTGGCGCAACAGAGGAGTGGGATGCTCCCTGAGTGCCGCTCCCGTTAGCATCCTGGCTGCCAATTGAAGCGATGGTTCTCCGCCATCAACTCCGCTGGACCAGCCGCATTGTCCGGATGCCCGACCACCGTCTCCCAAAGCAGTTGCTCTACTCCAAACTCAAGAACGGAAAACGGAATGTTGGTGGGCAGGAAAAGAGATTTTAAGATGGGCTCAAAGCCAACCTTAAAAACTCTGGCATAGACATAAATGATGTAGAGAGGAGAACTGGGAAGCCCTGGCCCTTGAGCGCCCCAGCTGGAGGTCAGCTGTGACCAGCAATGCTGTAGAATTTGAAGATGCATGAAAGGAGGGCAAAAGAGAGAAACATGCCAAGAGGAAGGTGCGACATGGCAACCTCGACTGGGACCCCCTTTCACCTGGAAAGCAATGCCCTCACTGCGGGAGAACATGCAGATTAAGAATAGGACTCCACAGTCACCTACGGACCCACCAATCTTGGAAGACAATCCTACTCAGACAACAAGGGATCGTCTAAGTAGTCACACCCCCATTTTTGTGGTTGCAAAACTGGTATTTTTTTGCTCCTCACATAATAGTCACATAGCTGTTTCAAACGGATTTCCCCTCCCTTCTCCAAGGGCAAGGCAATTTTAAACCTATTAAATGGAAGTCTGTGTGGCTCTGCTTTTTCCTTTCTCCAAAGAACTCCATTTCAGATTTTATAAACTGCTTTGCCTTCTGAGAAAGGAAGAGACAGAGAATCTTCCACTTTCTTCTGAGGCAAGGCATTCTAAAAAACCAAACAGACAAAAACAGAGCTGTTTGTTTGAGCCTGGATCATTCCTTCTCCTCTCCTTTCAGAGATAAGGCAGTCTGTTTGCTTGTTTGTTTGCTTGTTTATTTTTAATAAACAGGAACTGGAGAATCAAAGGCAGATTTTTATAGTGTGATACTCTCATCCCTTTTTTTAATTAAAAAAGTGATTAAAAGTGTGAACATTATGCGAGAAGTATATCATAGCTCACTTCCAAAAAAATAACTCACCCTTAATACAACGAATACAATCTCATTGAAAATTTCTTTTAATATACAGTGTTTTGTCGCTACTCTGCAGTTCACTTTTTGCGGACTCACTGTTTCATGGTTTTTCAGCGACCCAATCACAGTGCACCTTCCATAATGAGGCATTGTTTTTGAGAGGAAGGCGGGAATAATGAGTGGGAGGCAGAAAAAAGGAGGGGCAAGTTTGTGCGCGTTAGCTAATCAGAGCCTCCCTTTCAGCGCCCCAATCACAGCTCACCTTCCATCAGAACAAAGTGAAGTAAAACATGAGGTGGGGCTTTTGAGTGGGAAGCGAAATAAGAAGGCGGAGCAAGCTGGTGTGTGTTATCCTATCAGAGCCCGCCTTCCAGCGGCACGATCTGCGACCCAATTAGTGTGCGCCTTGCGCTAGGCGGCTGCATCCAGGGCAAAGCATTGATGAGGCAGGTCTGGACAGAGCAGCCCCGCCATTGTGCATGAAGGAACTGAGTGAGAGAGGGGGGGAGGGGGAGAGAGGAGTCTCTACTTCGCGGATTTTCACTTATCACGGCTGGTTCTGGAATTTAACACCCGCAATAAGTGAGGGAACACTGTAATCATTTATTCCAGGGTTAGCAGGGTCAAAAATCAGAATCTCTAGCATGTATCACTTAATAAAAGGGGGATATTTTTGGAGCTAGAGAAAAAAAAACAACAGTTTATCTGTTAAAGAGAAATGCTACACAAAAACATTAAAATGCTAACAGAACTGCTCCTACTTTCTCTGTCTTCTCCCCAATTAAAATATTGCTCCATCTGCTGAAAGTAGAATAAATCATGCAGAGAGGAGACTGTACCCACAACAGGTAAGGAAATAGAATAAGAACACATAGCTACTACACATAATTCAAGTTTTCAGATCTAGATGAACTGAATACAAAATACTCTGTTCTCTCAGACCAGTTGAAAAATAGGTGAGCTGCAGAAAGATGGGAGAAAAAAATCTTTTATATTTGTGAATAGGGCCACATTATTTTGCAGATGCTGTGGGTGTTAGTTGAGTGGTGCTTTGATTTCAGGAAAATGTTTGGGGATTCTCCCTCCCAACCCCATCAAGGTGCTGCTGTTCTCTGTATTGTCTCAAGGCACTTACCTTCTATGTTGCTCAGTGTCCATCTATGGGGAAGGAAGAGACAAAAAGATTAGTAGTATTGTTTATATGCAACTGCCAGTTTCAATAAGTTTATTCACAGATCAAAATACTTACTACTTATACAATATAGTACTGCAATTAAAGCACAGCATTGCATATAAAGTTCTGATTTGTACCAAACACAATCTTTTCAAGTAGCCAATATCAACAAGATATCCACTCTAGATTTTTGTTGCTGTTATATCTCTTCAAGTTGACTGATAGATGGCCACCAGCAAACAGGGTTTCCTTGGTACTATTTGTTAGAGAAGGTTTGCCACTACCTCCTTGTAAGGCTGAAAGAATGCAAAGTGCCCATTATGGATTCAATCCAGGGTTCTAGTCCAACATTCATATCATAGAATCATAGAGTTGGAAGAAACTTCATGGGCCATCCAGTCCAACCCCCTGCCAAGAAGCAGGAAAATTGCATTCAAAGCACTCTTGACAGATGGCCATCCAGCCTCTATTTAAAAGCTTCCAAAGAAGGAGCCTCCACCACACTCCTTCACTTCACTTCACTTCACTTTATTTCTTAATTAGTCGCTCTCCACCAAGGTGCTCCGAGCGACTTACAGTCTAAAATAGCATTTACACAATATAAAAACATTCAACATAAAAACATTCAACAGGGACTATTTGGCAAATTAGATCTGATTACTTAAATGCACAACCAAACAGCCTGGGCAGAGAGTTCCACTGCTGAACAGCTCTCACAGTCAGGAAATTCTTCCTCATGTTCAGATGGAATCTCCTTTCTTGTAGTTTGCAGCCATTGTTCCGCGTCCTAGTCTACAGGGCAGCAGAAAGCAAGCTTGCTCCCTCCTCCCTTTGACTTCCTCTCACACATTTATACATGGCTATCATGTCTCCTCTCAGCCTTCTCTTCTACAATCTAAACATGCTCAACTCTTTAAGCTGCTCCTCATAGGGCTTGTTCTCCACGCCCTTGATCATTTAGTTGCCCTCCTCTGGACACTTTCCAGCTGTGGTGCTCAGAATTGGACACAATATTCCAGGTGTGGTCTAACCAAGGCAGAATAGAGAGGTAGCATTACTTCCCTGGACCTAGACACTATACTCCTATTGATGCAGGCCAAAATCCCATTGGCTTTTTTGCCGCTGCTTCACATTATTGGATCATGTTTAACTTGTTGTCCACGAGGACCCCAAGATCTTTTTCACATGTACTGCTCTCGAGCCACGTGTCCCCCATTATGTATCTATGCATTTTATTTTTTCAGCCTAAGTGGAGTATCTTGCATTTGTCCCTGTTGAACTTCATTTTGTTAGTTTTGGCCCATCTCTCTAATCTGTCAAGATCGTTTTGAATTCTGCTCCTGTCCTCTGGAGTGTTGGCTATTAATCGCAATTTGGTCATCTGCAAACGTGATGATCATGCCTTCTAACCCTTCATCTAAGTCATTAATAAAGATGTTGAACATGACCAGGTCCAGGACGGAACCCTGCGGCACTCCGCTCGTTACTTCTTTCCAGGATGAAGAGGAAGCATTGGTGAGCACCCTCTGGGTTCGTCCATTTAACCAATTACAGATCCACCTAACCGTAGTTTTGTCTAGCCCACATTGGACTAGTTTGTTTGCCAGAAGGTCACGGGGGACCTTGTTGAAAGCCTTACTGAAGTCCAGGTACGCTACATCCATGGCATTCCCCGCATCTACCCAGCTTGTAACTCTATTGAAAAAAGAGATCAGATTAGTCTGGCATGACTTGTTTTCGATAAATCCGTGTGGATTATTAGCGATGACTGCAATTGTTTCTAAGTGTTTGCAGACCACTTCCTTAACAGTCTTTTCCAGAATCTTGCCTGGAAACTGCAGGAACACTCTTTATTTCCCTGGGGTGCCATCAACACTGCATTACAGGGGTCCCCAAAGTACGGCCCGGGGGCCGGACCCGGCCCACTGGGGGCATTTATCCAGCCCCTGGCAGGAACAACTAAACCAATAGCAGCCTGGCTGCTGCTCCTCTCCTGCTCAGGGGCTGGGAAGGAAGAGGGAGGCGGAGGCGCGGGCGCTGTGAGTGCTGGGTCTGAATGGAGGGAGCGAGAAGGCAGGCAAGCAGATCAGGGCCTTCCTGCCCCCCTTCCAGCCCCCGGATGCTCCATCTCCGCCTGTAGAGCTCCATGGCTGAGCTGCAGGGTTGGCAGGCAGCGGGAGACGCGCCTGTCTCTTTTCTCCATGCTCCTAGCCTTCGGCCACTCTCCTCTTGCTGCTCCTGTTGCCCCCGGACGGGAGACCAGCAGCAGGCCAGTAGGGAAGCAAGAGGAGAGCAGCTGAAGGCTAGGAGTGTGGAGAAGAGAGACAGGCGCGCCTCCCGCTGCCTGCCAGCCCTGCAGCCCCAAGCCATGGCACACCTCGCCTCAGACACCCTGGAGCTCTACAGGCGGAGGTGGAGCATCGGGGGCTGGGGGTGGGGGCAGGAAGGCTTGCTTGCCTGCATTCCATGCTTCCTTCCCTCCTTTTGCCTTTCTTTCCCCCTTCCTTCCTTCCTTCCTTCCTTCCTTCCTTCTGCCTTGATCCCTTCCCTCCCTTCACCTTTCCTGGCTTTTCCATTTCTTCTTTCTTTCCTTCGGCACTTGGCCGCTCCCTCCCTCCATTCAGATTAAGCTCCGCCTCCTCTTCATCCAGCCACCCGTAGTAGCAGCAGCAGCAGCAGGGCAAAGGGGCCACACAAAGGCCAGTATTCCATTTTCAGCATATCAGGTTTTTGTGCCAAATTTGGTAAAGACCCATCATTGTTTGAGTTCACAGTGCTCTCTGAATATAGGTAAACCACAACTCCAAAACTCAAGTCCAATGCCCTTCAATTTACTTCAGGAGACTATTGTTTTTGTTGTTGTTATTGCTCCTGCAGTAATTCTATTTTCCTGCCTGGCAGAAGGAAGGGGCTGGACTAGATGACCTTTGGGGGTCCCTTCCAATTGTATGTCTAATAATAATAATAATACTAATAATAATAATCTAATTCTATCTTCCTGCCTGGCAGAAGTAAGGGGCTGGACTACATGACCTTTGGGGGTCCCTTCCAATTGTAGGAGTATAATAATAATAATAATAATAATAATAATAATAATAATAATAATAATAATAATAATATACTATTGCTATCTTCCTGCCTGGCAGAAAGAAGGGGATGGACTAGATGACCTTTGGGGGTTCCTTCCAATTGTATGTCTAATAATAATAATAATAATAATAATAATAATAATAATAATAATAATAATAATTTCTATCTTCCTGCCTGGCAGAAGGAAGGGGCTGGGAGGAAGGAGGGCCCAAGCTGGCCCATGCCTGTTTTAAAGAATAGTAATGAAGTTTAATTCTATTGTAATGTTTCATATATTTGTAGATTTAAAATTGTATTGAAATGTAAGCTATTTTGGCCCCTTCCACACAGCTGTATAAAATCCACACTTAACTGGCTTACATGGCAGTGTGGACTCTGATAATGCAGTTCAAAGCAGATATTGTGGATTATCTGCCTTGATATTCTGGGTTATATGGCTGTTTGGAAGGGCCCTTTCAGACAGGCCCTATATCCCAGGATCTGATCCTAGGTTTTCTGTTTATCCCAGATTATCTGGCAGTGCAGACTCAAATAATCTAGTTTAAAGCAGAAAACCTGGGATCAGATCCTGGGATATAGGGCGCCTGGAAGGGCCCACAGAATCCTTGTGGAGACAAAAAGTGGTGTATAAATAAACGTAATATTAAATTGTAGAACAGAAATCTGTTCCTGCTTTGAAAGTGTTATTTTCTGTTTAATTGTGCGGCCCTTACTTTGAAAGTAGTCGTTCTCATCCAGAAACTGTGTGGCTGCCACAAACTATTGGCCAAAAAGTTTGGCCAATAGGCTGATCAGTAAACATATTCATGGGTTCCTGCTGTTATAGTAAACCTGTTACCCATGCTACGACATGCTTGAAGTCAAAATTTCATTTATTTGTAATTAGAAATAAATGTTTCACAATATATAAAACAAATGTTTCACAATATTCCCGTGTAAACTATAGTCCGGCCCTCCAACAGTCTGAGGGACAGTGAACTGGCCCCCTGTTCAAAAAGTTTGAGGACCCCTGCTGCATTATAATGCAATTTGAAACTGCATTATCTGGTCTATGTAGATAAATATCACTGAACTCCCTGATATGAGTCTACTCTACACTGACCATATATTGCAGTTTCATACATACATAATGGGGCCTGGGATACACCATATCATTCCATATTTCAGTGGTATATAAAATGTGTAAACAAGAACCATCACAGATTCAGATACCAAAAAACTTGCCACATTAAGAACAGAGTTGTCGCTGTTATTTTGGCTCAAACTCCAGAAACATAAGAAATGTGAATGCCTCCACAGACATACTCTGTTATATTCATGCTCACTGAGAGAAGTACTTTCTATTGCTAAAAGCAAAGAGAAGCACTTTTGGTCTGACATGTGTGACAAAAAGAGCCTGAGCCAGTAGAGTGCTGTGGTTCAAGTGTTGGAACTAGGTCTTCAGGAAACACTATTCAAATTGCCACTCAGTCATTAGATTCCAATGTTTAATCTTGGGCACATCAATCTCTTTCAGCCTTACAGGAAGACAATGGCAAGTGTCTGAATAAATCTTGCCAAGAAAATCCTAACTAGGGCTGCCATATTTTGGAGTCAACTTGGAAGAACACATCAAGCAATGACTATGTACACACTCCTTGATTATATCTTTATAGCCCAATCCAGAGAAGATAGCAGAATGCCTGGACCAAGAAAAATCCCCCCTGCTGATCCTAGTCTGTATTTTCTTATGAAGCATCTAAATCTTGCTGCATTGATAAAAGTATCCAGCTGCGATCTAATCCATGCTTGCTTGTTACTGTTATAAGTTTCATTGGGCAGAACCCCCCCCCCCCTCCTCCCGGCTTGGTAAATTTCTAAGTAGCGGTTCATATGAGCAATATGAGCATTCCAGTACATACAGACAGAATAGCTAAAATAGACAAAAGATATTCAAGGTATACCGTAAAAAGCGTGCTTGGGCTGGGCAGGCCTGTGCCAGTTGCTGTGCTGCAAGTTCCAAAAACTGATGTCTCCCCATTTCTTTGACAGAACAGGGAAACCTCGTCTTCGTCAGCCTAATACTGAAGATAAAGAAAAACAGAAAGGTTTTATTAATGCCATCTATGGACGGTAACATGGAGCCCCCGGTGGTGCAGTGAGTTAAACTGCTGAGTTGCTGAACTTGCTGACCGAAAGGTCGGTTCGAATCCAGGGAGTGGGGTGAGCTCCTGCTGTTAGTTCCAGCTTCTGCCAACCTAGCAGTTCAAAAACATGCAAATGTGAGTACATCAATAGGTACCGCTCCGACGGGAAGGTAACGGCACTCTACACAGTCATGCTGGCCATATGACCTTGCAGGCATCTACAAAAACGGAAGCTCTTTGGCTTAGAAATGGAGATGAGCACCACCCCCAGAGTCGGAAACAACTGGATATAATGTCAAGGGGAAATCTTTACCTTTACTTGTGAAAGGTAACATTGCAATTTCTCATTTATAACTGACATTAACATCTAGCAGCCCATGTAAATCCTCACAAAATAACTTCTACCAAAAGCCAAAGACCTCTGTCCTAAAAAACTGAAACAACACCTATCTTTCTTTCTTGTGGACCACATAGGATTCTTGCACATGTATTCTCTCATGTTATTTTTTATTATTTGATCATCCAACAGTCATAGTAGCATATGTTCTGGTTTGAAAATGATTCTTGATTAACTAATTTCTTGGAATTGCTCCCAAAATATTTTGGACTTTTTACAAATAAAAACACCAATGATAGAAGACTGAACAGTGAAGATGTGGGAACTAATAGATATGGACAAGTTAACAGTGTTGCTTAAGGAGAAGATACAGAAGAATGGAGATCTTTTCATCATATATCTGAGGCAAAGGGAAATACTTTATTTACAGGTGTGAAGGTATAAACAGGGGTCCTCAAAAATTTTAAACAGAGGGCCAGGTCACAGTCCCTCAAATTGTTGGAGGGCCAGATTATAATTTTTTAAAAAACCATGAATGAATTCCTATGCACACTGCAAAAAAACACTTTAAAATAATACAATAATTAAAATAAAGAACAATTCTAACAAATTTAAACTTATTAGTATTTTAATGGGATGTGTGGGCCTGCTTTTGGCTGATGAGAAAGGGTGTTATTGTTGTGTATTTTCAAGTCATTTCAGATTTAGGTTGACCTTGGAGGGCCGTATCCAGCCCCCGGGCCTTAGTTTGAGGACCCCTGGGCTAGGCAAAACTACAGTGAGGTGGATCAGTAATTGGTTAAATGGACGAACCCAGAGGGTGCTCACCAATGCTTCCTCTTCATCCTGGAAAGAAGTGGCAGGGTTCCGTCCTGGACCCGGTCCTGTTCAACATCTTTATTAATGACTTAGATGAAGGGCTTGAAGGCATGATCATCAAATTTGCAGATGACACCAAATTGGGAGGGATAGCCAATACTCCAGAGGACAGGAGCAGAATTCAAAACGATCTTGACAGATTAGAGAGATGGGCCAAAACTAACAAAATGAAGTTCAACAGTGACAAATGCAAGATACTCCACTTAGGCAGAAAAAAACAAAATGTAAAGATACAGAATGGGGAACAATGCCTGGCTCGAGAGCAGTACGTGTGAAAAAGATCTTGGAGTCCTCGTGGACAACAAGTTAAACATGAGCCAACAATGTGATGTGGCGGCAAAAAAAGCCAATGGGATTTTGGCCTGCAGCAATAGGAGCATAGTGTCTAGATCTAGGGAAGTAATGCTACCCCTCTATTCTGCTTTGGTTAGACCACACCTGGGATATTGTGTCCAATTCTGGGCACCACAATTCAAGAGAGATATTGACAAGCTGGAGTGTGTCCAGAGGAGGGTGACTAAAATGATCAATGGTCTGGAGAACAAACCCTATGAGTTGCGGCTTAAGGAGCTGGCCATGTTTAGCCTGAGGAAGAGAAAGCTGAGAGGAGATATGATAGCCATGTATAAATATGTGAGAGGAAGCCACAGGGAGGAGGGAGCAAGCTTGTTCTCTGCTGCCCTGGAGACTAGGACGTGAAACAATGGTTTCAAACTACAAGAAAGGAGATTCCATCTGAACATGAGGAAGAACTTCCTGACGTGAGAGCTGTTCAGCAGTGGAACTCTCTGCCCCGGAGTGTGGTGGAAGCTCCTTCTCTTTGGAAGCTTTTAAACAGAGGCTGGATGGCCATCTGTCAGGGGTGATTTGAATGCAATATTCCTGCTTCTTGGCAGGGGGTTGGACTTGATGGCCCATGAGGTCTCTTCCAACTCTTTGATTCTATGATTCTATGGTATCATCTGTTGAGATATTTATTTATCTCAATATAAAGTGGAAAAAACATATTAGAAAAATGTGTATGTGTGTGTATAAAGGCAGTGCTCAAGTTACTAACAGGATAGGTTCTGTTCCATCTGAACATTAGAAAGAACTTCCTCACTGAGAGATTAATAGATTCCATCTAAACATTCCTGAACTTCCTGATTAGGAGATTCCATCTGAACATTAGGAAGAACTTCCTGACTGTGAGAGTTGTTCAGCAGTGGAACTCTGCCCCGGAGTGTGGTGGAGGCTCCTTTTTTAGAGGCTTTTAAACAGAGGGTGGATGGCAATCTGTCGGGAGTGCTTCGAATGCGATTTTCCTGCTTCTTGGCAGGGGGTTGGACTGGATGGCCCACGAGGTCTCTTCCAACTCTATGATTCTATGTCGGTTTGATCTTAAGTTGAATTTGTATGTAAGTTGGAATAGGTACATTTTAAGAGTTAACTCGAGGCAGAAATATATGCTTTGGATAATATAGGGAAGGGTTAATATCCCTGTGGTATTTTGTTTGGCTGTCTGTTCAGATTTCTCCAAACTTTCTGTCCCTGTGATAATTGGGTTTTGAAAAATGTGGCTTGTTGTAGAAACGAAGATTGGTGCTAAAACTTCAGTGGAGACACCTTTTCCCCATGATAAATCTTCCGGGAGTGATTTTCCCATCCTAGGGGTAGATTTCTCTCACTTCCTGTTGTCTCATCCCCATTGTTAACTCTGAGTGATTTGCAAGTTGGATGTTTATAACTCAGGGACTGCCTGTACACACACAGACAGTTTTGGTCCAGGTTACCTACAGGTTGCCTTTTCCCGTACAATCTGCCCCTTAGAACACTGAGGTCATCTAAAGGGATACTTACTCCAACTAGCTTTTCATCAGCTGCATCGGCTGCCTCAAAGACTGTGGAGTGACCTGCCAGAAGAGCTCCAACATTATTATTATTATTATTATTATTATTATTATTAATTTTATTTGTACCCCGCTAGCATTTCCCGAAGGACTTGATGCAGCTTACAAAGGCCAAGGCCTCAAAACACAACATAACAATACAACACCTAAAGCAAATTAAAAACAATTAAAGCAATATTAAACAACAACAATAAACAAGACAGAATAGAGCCTTGCGGGACCCCACAGGTCAACATCTAAAGGAATTGTCAGAATTTAAGGGCTCTTTTTTCCGGATTTGTATTCTATTGCCGCTGCTACTTGTTGATCTTTGTAGCTTGTGCTTTGATACACATATTCTGCTGCATGCATTTTATGCTGATATATTATGACTATGTTGTAACTGCCTCAAGACATTAGTCATGGTTTTATTGTTACTGTTGTTATTTGTTTGTAGTTTAGAGTTACATGTCATTAAAAGTAGAGGCATTTGTGTAGTTGTGGAACTGTGGTTAAATTATGTCTAAACTGAGGCTGGATGGCCATCTGTCGAGGCTGCTTTGCGTGTGCTTTAGAGGGTTGGACTAAATGACCCATGTGGTTGCTACCAACTATGATTCTATGTTTTTATGTTTGTGTTATCTTTGTGTTTTTTTAATCATCAATTAAAATATTACGGAGACGGGGGGGGGGGGGGAATCCCAAAGCAAACCACATCACTCAGTTGATGCTGTTTGCAAACAAACCGAGGGAATGTGCGGCTCTCTCCCCCGTTCGATATCCCCCAAGCGTTTCTTTTTTTCTCCGCTCGTTCAGTTTCAAAGGGGGGAGGGAGAGCGCTCGTCCGTCCCTCTCCCCCCCCCCCCTATTACAATTCATAGCTGGGATACCTCCCCCAGTCATAGAATCATAGAATCAAAGAGTTGGAAGAGACCTCATGGGCCATCCAGTCCAACCCCCTGCCAAGAAGCAGGAATATTGCATTCAAATCACCCCTGACAGATGGCCATCAGGCCTCTGTTTAAAAGCTTCCAAAGAAGGAGCCTCCACCACACTCCGGGGCAGAGAGTTCCAGTCCCGCGGCTAGTGGCCTTGGCGCCTCACCTTTTCTCCGCCCAAAGCCCAACGAGGCACCCGTCGCTTCTTCAAGCTCGGCTCCCACGAACGCCCTACTCCCTCCGCGAAAAAAAAGTCAGTTTTCCCCTTCAGTGTGATTGACATCAGATCCGGAGGGCACTCCTTCCAAAGTCTTCCGGCTGGAAACAGCAATCTGTTCGTCGTTCCGGGCGGCGTCACAAGCGCCTGCTCTCTCGCCGTATCGGGATTGGCACGTGACCTAGATGCCAACGTGACCGCTTCCGCGCGTGCGCCCAGGAATGCCTGTTAAAAGAAAAGGTGTCTCGTTCTTTTGCTGTCACCAATAAGGCGCCTTGATTATGTCACCGAAGCCTCTTTCTTTTATAGGCAAAGCATTGCGGGCCTGTCCGGTGTGGCATCTTCGGACAGAGCCTTGGCTTGGAGAGCTGGTTCTATTGTGGGGTATTACAACATATCGAAGTTGCACAAGTATGCCTTTTCTTCGTAGCGTTTTCTCTCCCTCTATTTTCTCATACACATTCTCCTTCCGTCTTTCCTTCTTCCCTTGCTTTCTCTCATACACCTTCCCGCTTTTTCCTTCCTTTTTCCTTTCTCTTCCCTTCGTTTTCTTCCTTTCTTTCCTTCCCTCATACTTACCCCTTTTCTCTCTTTTCCTTCCCTCCCTCCGAACGTTTTTCTTTCCCCTTCCTTCCCTCCTTTTTTCCTCTTCTTTTCCTCTTTCCTTTCATCCCCTCACACACACGTTTCGTACCAACATCCAATCAGCTTCGCTCCCATCTTTCCCAGTCGCATCACAAAGGGCCACTTAACCAAGCAACAGCGAATCTTTCACCCAGCCACAGCCAATCTGCTTTGCTCCTTTTCTTTCCCTTAGAAAAGGAGTGGTTCTTTAATTCAATTATTTACAGTTGGATAATGAAGGGTAGGCATGCTAAGTTTGGTCCGGCTCCATTAAGCCATGTAGGAGCCTTGTTGGGACAAATACACATACATGCATAAATAGTTGCAACTTTTATATATATAGATACAATTCTTAATGCGCCTGTTTGTGAACAAAGGCAGTAGGGTTTATGTGAAAGTGGTTTGCATGGAAATGGAGCATATGTCTTCTCTTCTGTCCGACACGTAGAATTCAATAGCATTTCCTTTCAGGTGTAGTTGGTTGTAGCCCTAAATATATTAAAATTAAATGTGGTGTTTGGGGGAGAGAGGGGTGTCCAATAGTAATTTCTCATTTACAGAAGAAAAATATTGTCTTACATTTTGGAAGGTTGTAAATTAAAACTGAGAAGCCCAAGCTTGTGCAATGGGGAGGTTCCTCTTAAAAGTGGGTTTCCCAAATCCTCCTCACTTTAGCATCCCCTGAAAAGTGTCCCCTTGAAATCCAGGAAACACTGAGGAAATGAATGTGTGCTGAGGGAAGTGGGGTTGATTCTTTGAGAAGTGGGATTCAGTTACCTTTCTTCGTTTCTACAATTTACCTTTTTTTCCTCGAAATGTTTTCAGATCATTATTTATTTATTTATTTATTTGCTTCATTTGTACCTCGCCTTTCTCAGCCCTGCAGGGGGACTCAAGGTGGCTTACAACTCCGGCAAGATTCAATGCCACAACATAGTTATAAAACATCCCATAAACTAAAAGCAATTAAAATCACTATCAGGTCTTGACAGCAAAGTAGCACATTGGTTTCTTGATCTGGATCCCATGATAACTGCCACTCAAAAAATGTTCTTTTAAAAAATATTTTTATTGTTTTATCATAGTTATTACATTTGTTATACATTTGTTTATAGCAGTTACATATTATTCAACACACTCTTTAACATATAATCTTATTATTCTGCTTAAGCATTTTTTTTCCTTTTTTTCCCACCACTGTCCTCCCCTCCCCCCATCTCAAGTCACAACTTTTACATATCGTCTGTCCAAAATCTCAATTCTTCTTGTGGCGGTAACTTTCCTTTTTTATTTTTTAAACCATTTACAACAAATTTTCCCCATACAACATCAAAATCACTTTGTTTCCATATACCTTTTTTTAACTTTTAATATACATGTAAGCTTATTTTTTATTGCCAGTTTCCATGCTTCCTTGTACCACTCCTCTATTTGTATATTTATTTCTTTTTTCCAGTTCCTTGCTATGAGCAGTCTTGCTACTGTTAATAAGTTTGTTATCGCTTCTTTATCCTCCTTTTTCAATTGTATAGTTATATAATGATAGTAAAGCTGTACTAGGACTTTTCTCAGTTTTCAAATTCATTATATCTTCTATTTCTCTAAAATTTTCTGTGTGAGGAAGTGCTTCTTAAATTTCCACTTTCTATGACGAATGTGTGTTACCTAATAAGGAGGCAATTTCAAATTATTTATTCATTACATACTGGGCCCTTAGTATCTGCGAGGGTTGGCTCCAGGACCCCTCATGGATTCCAAAATCCATGGATATTCAAGTCCCACTATATACAGCGCCATAGTAAAATGGTGTCCCTTATATAAAATGGCAAAATCAAGATTTGCTTTTGGGACTTTAAAAAACTAGTTTTCGAGATGTGGAAGGTTGAATGTTTAGAAAACATTCAGTTTCCTTTGTGACAAAATACAGAAGGAAAATGGCATTCCATTACTATTTTGTTACAGTAATTGTGCATAATTACTATAATTGGGGAAACTTCAGAGGCTCCTATCTCCCTCATTTTAAAGCTATTGGGGTAAAACTTGTTACAATGGCAGAACACATTTACTAATGTTAGCCCACCAAATTTCAGAACATTTCACTTATCCAAGAATTTTTGGAGAATTTTCAAAGTTTTTATAAACATTTTTATTTTTAAAAACTTTGTTGCTGTTGTTCAGTTGTTCAGTCGTTTCCGACTCTTCTTGACCTCATGGAACAGCCCACACCAGAGCTCCCTGTCGGCTGTCACCTACCCCAGCTCTTTCGAGGTCAATCCAGTCACTTTGAGGTCTATCCAGTCACTTCACATCCATCCATCCATCTTGCCTCTTCCTTTTTCCTTCCATTTCCCCAGCATAATTGTTTTCTCTAAGCTTCCGTTTCTTCTCATGATGTAGCCAAAGTACTTCATCTTTGCCTCTACTATCCTTCCATCCAATGAGCAGTCGGGCTTTACTTCCTGAAGTATGGACTGGTTGGATCTTCTCGCAGTCCAGGGCACTCTCAGAACTTTCCTCCAGCACCACAGTTCAAAAGCATCAGTCTTCCCTATGGTCCAGCTCTCACATCCGTAGGTGACTATGGGGAATACCATTGCTTTTACTATGCGGATCTTCATTGCCAGTGTGATGTCTCTTCGCTATTTAATCGAGATTGGACATTGCTCTCCTCCCAAGAAGTAAGCATCTCCCGATTTCCTACACCTAGAAATACAAAGTCTGTCACTGCCTCCACGTTTTCTCCCTCTATTTCCCAGTTGTCAATGATTCTTGTTGCCATAATCTTGGGGTTTTTTTTATGTTTAGCTGCAACCCAGCTTTTGTGCTTTCTTCTTTCACCTTGATTCGATGGCTCCTCAGCTCCTCCTTGCTTTTAGCCATCAAAGTGGTGTCATCTGCATATCTAAGGTTGTTATGTTTCTTCCAGCAATTTTCACCCCAGCCTTGCATTCGTCAAGCCCCACACATCGCATGATGTGTTCTGCATGCAAGTTGAATAGGTTGGGTGAGAGTATACAACCCTGCCGTACGCCTTTTTCAATCTTGAACCAGTCTGTTGTTCCATGGTCAGTTCTTACTGTTGCTATTTGGTCCTTATACAGATTCCTCAGGAGTGAGATAAGGTGATTTGCTATGCCCATACCACCAAGAACTTGCCACATTTTATTATGATCCACACAGTCAAAGGCTTTAGAATAGCCAATAAAACAGAAGTAGATGTTTTTCTGAAACTCCCTGCCTTTCTCCATTATCCAGCGGAATCTTGGCAATTTGGTCTCTCATTCCTCTGTCTTTTCTAAACCCAGCTTGTACATCTGGCAACTCTCCATGTATTGCTGGAGTCTATCTTGCAGGATCTTGAGCATTACTTTACTGGCGTGTGAAATAAGTGCCACTGTACGAAAGTTTGAGCATTCTTTAGCATTTCCCTTTTTTGGTATGGGGATATAAGTTGATTTTTTTCCAGTCTGATGGCTATTCTTGTGTTTTCCATATTTGCTGGCATATGGCATGCATCACTTTGACAGCATCCTCTTTCAAGATTTTAAACAGTTTCGCTGGGATCCCATCATCTTCTGCTGCCTTGTTGTTAGCACTGCTTCTTAAGGCCCATTCAACCTCACTCCTCAGGATGTCTGGTTCTAATTCACTCACCACACCGTCAAAACTATCTTCAATATTATTATCCTTCCTAAACAGATCTTCGCCACTTTCTCTTGATCTTTTAATAACTAAAAAGCGATATACTTGAATTTTATATACAATGCACAAGATAACCAGGGCATCAATCCTCAGAAGTTTCAGAAAGATTCACACATCTACAGATTTTTGGAGATGTTAAAAAGTTTAGACAAAAACAATTTATCCCCCAAAAAGTGACAACAGCAATCCCTTTAAATGTTTGTCTGTCTTTATGACACTAAACCGCATAACTTTAACTTCGCACAGATTTATACTATTACTTACTTTAGTCCTCTTTGCAGATTTATGGTCTCTTGACTTTGCCAAAGTTGCTTAATGCTTATTATACAGAAAATTAAACTGACCTTTGGAGGCATCCAAGCATTACAGAATTTTAACAAAAATGATTGGTGGGTGTTTCAATTTCTAAATCCCCCCCTTTCCTATATGTTTCTAATATCGACTCATATACCTGAATTTTATGAGGCTTTCCAATTTATCTGGACATGCTTAATAACTACTAGAGTCGATGCGGTCTATCCAATGCAATTTTCTGAATCAGTGCCCCCAAATAACCCTAAGGACAGGCCTAAGAACCAAGATATCAAGATATTTTTTCTTGGACTGTTATTGTTGCGGTTAGAAATCTGATCAATCTAAATATTATAATATTTATTAATAAATGCAGTCATTGAAGAGTTCCTTATAAATTACCTTCTTAGATCAAAGTAGTGTGTCTCACAATCACTGGGAGAATGTTTTATCCATGGTAGTCACATGGCAGTCACAGCAGGACATCTTAGCTCCTTGTTGATAGAGCAGCTTTATTAGTCCACACCAGTTCCAGTTTTTAACCCGTGATCTCATATTTCCCTTCAAACTGAAAAAGTGCCCCAGCTTTATGCTGTTTTCACTTTATCTCCTTTCCTCTCTGGCTTTCTCTGATTTCTGACCTTCACGTGAAACTGACCACCACTTTCTGCCTTTACTCAGGCCATCTTTTCTAGCACTATCATGCCTCAGATCCCTCAGGAAATTGACACTATCAAGTACAGTCTTCCCTCCACATTTGCAATTTTGATCTTTGCTGATTTGATTATTCATGG